TCAGATAACCTGCAGCTACTTCCGCGGAATAATTCGAACCGCCTCTAATCAGAGGAAAGCTTGTACTCTTTTCATCATCATACATGTATGTATTTAATATATGTATTTATTCAGCCCCACACAACAAAACCTTTTACTTGCATGATCCTTTAGTGAAACTTGAAATCCTGCTATCTGAAATTAATTGAAGGAAAATGTTTTTTAAAAACAGATCCCTCGCTCTAAATGTGATTACATGGATCCAAACAATATCAATTAATTTTTTTTTTTTCGTAAACATATGTTAAAAAGTCTTAAACCATATGCTCTCACCGATGGAATGTTATCCAACTTCTCTTAAACTATAGCTAAACAATTTGTTAACGAATCATTCTCCATTATTTTAAATGCTGTTGATTCTATAACTGTATTTTAATATTATATCCGTCCATGCAGGCGTATTTCTGAAATTTCTTTTATTTCCGTTTCGCCATGACTCATTATACAAAATGGCAGCACACTGTCAAGAATATTTTGACATTTGCAAACTTTCGACGGGCTGGCAGCTTTCAAAAGGACGGCTAAAGAGAAAAGTCAAAAGAAAAGTAAAAACGAAAACTTTCCTTTTATTCAACTACACCCAAGAACGACAAAAGTAGAAAATTAACAGAATAAAAAACTGATTAAACCGATAAACATTACGAACGGCGAGTAAATCCATTAAAGTTGCATTGCTAAAGAACAAATCTAAGGACACAAACAACTTGCGAAGAATTCTACGATAATTCCGGCAGTGGTGCAGCGAATAGCCATTAGTCGCAGAACGCAACGAGCCGACTACAACAACAACAGCGAAAAGGCACATCGACCGCAGGAACAGTGTGGCAGCGATAGTAAAACCGCAGTGCAGATTGATAGGCATAGTCAAATAAAGTTTGTGCGTTAAAGAAACGTTAACATTGAAGCAGTCTGGTGTGACGGTACGAAAAAATAGGTGTGCGGTAAACCGGGTGTGAATAAAGTAAAGTGCCAACGTAATGCCCTTGTTTGGAAAATCACAAAAGACCCCCGCCGAATTGGTGCGGTCGCTTAAGGAAGCAATCAATGCACTAGAAACGGGAGGTGATCGTAAAGCAGAAAAGGCACAAGAAGATGTCAGCAAAAATCTTGTCTCTATTAAAAATATGCTTTACGGTAGCAGTGATTCGGAGCCACCAGCGGATTATGTAGTCGCCCAACTGTCGCAGGAACTGTATAATAGTAATTTATTGTTGCTGTTAATACAGAATTTGCATCGTATCGATTTTGAAGGCAAAAAACATGTAGCACTGATATTTAATAATGTACTGCGACGACAAATTGGCACACGTTCACCCACAGTGGAGTACATTTGTACAAAGCCCGAAATACTGTTTACGTTAATGGCCGGCTACGAGGATGCGCATCCAGAGATTGCACTAAATTCTGGAACAATGCTGCGTGAGTGTGCCCGATATGAGGCACTCGCAAAAATTATGCTGCACTCAGAAGAGTTTTTCAAGTTCTTCCGCTATGTAGAGGTGTCGACCTTCGATATTGCGTCAGATGCATTCTCCACTTTCAAGGAATTACTGACACGACACAAGTTACTGTGTGCCGAATTCCTCGAGGCCAATTATGATAGGTTCTTTACGCAACATTATCAAAGATTGTTAAATTCGGAAAACTATGTTACCAGACGACAAAGTCTGAAGTTATTAGGTGAATTATTACTTGATCGACACAATTTCACCGTGATGACACGTTACATTTCGGAGCCGGAAAATTTGAAACTTATGATGAATATGTTGAAAGAAAAGTCCCGTAATATACAATTCGAGGCCTTCCACGTCTTTAAGGTGTTTGTAGCAAACCCAAATAAACCGAAACCTATATTAGATATCTTGCTACGCAACCAATCTAAATTGGTTGACTTTTTAACCAATTTCCATACGGATCGTTCAGAGGATGAGCAGTTTAACGATGAAAAAGCATATCTGATTAAACAGATAAAGGAGCTTAAGCCGCTGCCTGAAGCTTAGTAGCATAGAAGCCTACGTAAACGAATCGCCAACCAATATGTACAGCATAAACTAAAACATCTGCAACACAATTTCCAACATCTTCAGCAAACCCAAAGCTACTACCACCACTTTTACCGTCATTATCGGTGCTACCAACTCCATCCGTTCTGCCAACTTAAGGCCTCAGCAGGTCCTGAAAGCCAGTTTTATCCGATCAGCACTTTCAACAACTTGCTGTGGTAGATGGCTCACATATATGCAGTAGGCTTGTGTGAAAATTAAAATTAACTGAATGATTGATTGCATGGCAGCAGTAATTGTGTGCTAGCTAGTAGTGTGCGTTATAATTTAAAGAAAAAGTAATATATAGTCAACTCTTAAATTATTTTCGCAGCAACAGAAATAGATAGAAGTTAAAAATAATGAAATGAGAATGAAACCCGATTACAGTAAATTTGCAAATATTTTTTAATAATTTCTTTTTTGAAATTATGAAAATTTAAAACCGTTAAACGCTATAGCAAAATAGCCCATCCATCTGCTGCATTTGGAAACGATGGATTGGGAAGTGTTGAGGGTGGTACCAAATTTTTTAAGATAAGATATTTCAACACGCTGTTGCCAACGCGTTATTGTCTTGCCTTAAAAAAAAAATATTTTTTGGCATAATATTCCACTGCTTTAAAATTTATGAGAAAAATGAAAAGGCAATAGCTTCTAAGTATAAAACTTTGGGCTTGATTGAAATATAAATCGAGGACAAAAACGGACTAAATAAAATCAAATTATTAAATAGGATAATGATAAAATAAAACGAAAAACAAAACATAATACGACTTACATACATACATATATGTGAAGGCAACTTTATAATGCGGCTTACGATTGACACTTTTGTTTTTGTTCTTTGTCGTTATTTTGTATGTTTGTTCATTTTACTATGTTTAGGAATGCAATTCAAATAAAACTAGTTATAAACTGCGAAAAAGTTATATAATTGCTTTCTTTTTACGATTCGAGTTAAATAATAGGGTTGAAGAGCAGGTAAATGCGGAGAGCGAATGTTGCCTCCCCAATTAACATAATCAGCTGAATAATAAAGAAAAAATTATTTATAATAAAAAAAAAAAAACGATACATACGCATGCAAATATACAACGTACGTACACCTAAGCATACATAATTGAATGTAGTATATAATRATTACAACCTTACTTGCATATACTATTACTATTAAAATATTATAAAACAAGAAAAATTATTTATATAATTATGCCTAAAATTTAAATGAAAAACTAAATAAAAAAACATAAATAAAATGTGCGATTAGCAGAAAACCTAAATTATATGAAACATTTTTATACATTTCCTTCTATATGTACACAACTATGCGATATGATTAATATGCAATCACGTAATATAATTAAAAATGATAAAGAATAGCATTGACCAAACCTAGTAGTGGAAACGTAAAAAGCGCACATCAACTACATACAAATATATAGTTTTATCTTTGGTATTTTGGAAAACAAGTGTGTACTAACATATTCAAATGGAGAAAAATTATTACTTTTATCTGTAAAAAGCTTTTGATAAATATTGATTAAAACAAAATATATCAGTTTACAGATTATACTAATTACTAGGCTCCAAAAATGATGCAAAGGAGAAATAGGGGTAGCAGACACACGGAAGAGACATTAGAAAATACACTTCTATTTTTTAGCACATAAAAATTTATGTACCTAAATCGGAGAACAATGACGCATATTTTCAAATTCGAAATTTATTTGAATGTTTTAATAAAAATAAGTTGTTTATTGTATACATATTTAATCCTTGCGTAGTTGCACCTCTTCTTCTGTAATTCCATCTTTCGTGATGACTTTCAAGATTACTGAATCACCAGTGTATATATCACGTTCCGCTGCTGAAATGAAGGCATCTTTAGCTACTTCCTTAGCCTTCTCCAAGGGTACTTTAGGTTTGTTTTTCACGTCTCTATCTTTTCCACCAATTTGATTGTCCAATACCGGTTGCAGCAACGTACCGGCCGAACCACCTGCGCGGTATGTGGTACGTTCGCAGTGACCAATAGGATCGTATGAATAGACAACACCTTTTCCTTCGGAGTCAAGTCCAGCCAATACATTTGAAACGTAGTAAGGGAAAAAGCGACGGTTGTACATAAGTATCGACAACATCTGTGCTACTGCTTCTGTTGACATGGTCTTCAAGTGTAGATGCTCATACATTTGCATACGTGCATTAACAAGACTAGTGAGCGCTAATGTATCACACCAGCAACCAGTTGAACCAAGTACAGTTTTCTCCGACAATTGGAAAAGTTTGTTTTGTTTTCGCGTGTGAATAGTGTACCCACTGCTCAAACGTGTATCTGCAGCAATTACAACGTAATCTTCACCGGCAATAGCCACAATGGATCTGTAAATAACTTCCCTCAGAAAATGTATTATATGAAATTATTTAAAAACTTACCCTCCATTTGATTCGTAAGGTGAGAAATCCTGATGCTGTGCACCGGGAACTTGATACTCAGGAAACGATTGAATTTTATGCATTTTTACTTAATGTAATATTTTCCCCAGAAAAATTACTAAAATGATAATTCGTGCAAGTGATTTGCAGAAATTCCTCCTTGTGTTGTCTATTGAATGACAATTAACAATTTTGTTTGACAGTTTTAAAAAGGGCTGCCACTATGAAAATATAATGCTGCCACATGTCTAAGTATAAATTATTTAATTTCAGGTTATTCTTATAAATAATTTATTAAATTTTAGATTAGATTTTTGTTTGTACATAAAGCAGGATATACACGTGCAGACATGTCTGTGCTACATGTCAAGTATTGCATACCGTCGCATCGTGTACTAAATTCTAGGTATGCATACAAGTATGAATGAAATTGAAATCTTTAAATTTTTTTGCCCGGTATGCAGACCGATCATACTTGTTGTCAATTTTGAAGTGAAGGATTGTGCGCACATCACAATGGCTATTATAAAAAATGATTTTTGGAGAGAATTTATTGAAGCCTTTAGAGAAGAAAAAGTGCTGTGGGAAATAAAAAATGAATTTAACAAAAATAATCTGAAAAGAACAGAAAGTTGGCAAAGACTTGCTAACAAATTGAAAGAAATTGATAAGGGTGCCACAATTGATACAGTAAAAAAGCGCGTTAATGGCATGCGAAGTTGCTATAGGAGAGAATTGTGCAAAATTAAAAACACTGAAAAATCTGGTGCTGGTGGAGAGGACATATATGAGCCAACGCTTTGGTACTTCCACCACCTAGACTTCCTTCGAGGAAACGAAGTGACAACGGCAGGAATAAGTACGCCTGAAGACCCCGAATTTGAAAATACGGTGAGTAAAATTTATTATAGAGAATATTTATGTATGAATATTAATTATTACATTTGTGTTTTATCGTATCATTATTATACGTTACAAAATTTATTTTGCCATGGAGTTGACAAAACTGTATTAAAATACAGTTAACAACGAAAGCGTTTCGCTGTATTTGTCGAATTTCCTCCATGAATGGCCCTTAGTTTGGAAAGTTCACAAGCACTTTGCAAAGGTGCGTTTTGTACATTGTTTGTGTTAACATTTTGTTAATCTATGCTGTCACTTATATACAGCAAGCCATTTTTCCGTGAATATAACAGCATGCTAAAACTATTTTAGATACTTTATAAGGGGGTAAGTTTATGCTGTTGGCAAGAATACGAAAGCGACTCGATAATCTGTAATTGAAAATAGTTTCGTCGGAGCTTAGTTGGGTACGACTAAATGGCTTCATTAAATTCTCCGGAAATGCATCATGTTGTAATAGTATGAGCCTGCTCCAGGTGGTTTCATAATTTCTACATGCTTGCCACCGATAGGTCCAATGCAGTTGGGGAAATTCCGAAGTGTATGGAAATCGTTAGCAATGGATTTTTTTTTTTTTTTTTTTGGAATCTGTAATAAGTGCAAAAATAATTTTAGTCTTTCCTCTATTTCCAGGCTCATTCGCATAGTAAAAAACGAAAGAAATCTGACAATAATTCAAAGTTTCTGGAAAAGGCAAAAGAACACCTTGAACAAGCAAAAAAAACAAAAGCTATACGCGATGATGCTGACGTATTTAGTGAATCATGGGCAGTTTTATATAGGAAATTATCTGCGGAGCAGCAAATATACGCTAAACGAGCCATAGACGAGATATTGGTACATGGACAGTTGGGAAACTTGGATTTGAATTCCGTTCAGATAAATGTAGTGCAAAGAGATCCAAGAACATTGACAATATCTCGTGTTTCGACTCCATACACCTCTTCAGGATCCCCAACAGATGTTTATCCCACAGCCATAACTCCAGCGCCACAAATACTTACACCAAAAAGCAATCGAATTGATTGTTCTCAATCTGTGTTTGAGGAATCAGCTGAGTATAGTAGTATAAAATCCCCAGCTCGATCTTTTAATGAACTTTCTAGAGACTCCCAGTATCAGTAAATTTAATTTAAATGTATTTGGGTTTTTTTTTAATTTTATAGTACAATTTTTCTACCATAAATAATTAGAAAAATAATACAAAAAAATTAGTTTTTAATTTTTTTCTTTAAATTTTCATGATTATAAAAATAATTTTCGTGTATGAAATAAAAAAATATAAAACTAGAAATGAAATACTTGAATACTAATTGAACCCCAATGTTTCTATTGTTGCTTCACAAATTTCAATCACAATATTGCTGTTAAAAATTTTAAATCTTCAAAACTCTCGCCTGATGACAAACATCTGATGGTAGCCGAAAGCCGTTCATGTGGCGTTAAAGCGTCTCTCATAGAGGTGTCTTTTATTTTTAAAATTTTTTGCACCAAAAGCGTTGCTTTCGTTTTTTTTTTCCTTGCACACCGAAATTACAACTAGCGCGAAAATTTCCTTTGCTGGGGTCATGTCCGTTCACTTCAACAATTACAACGAAATGATGTCTGAACAACATGTCAAGTTATTGTATAGTGAACTTACTTGCGACTCGGTATGCATACAAGTCTGCACGGTTATATCCCGCTTAAATTAGTATTTTAGATCATATAACCGTGATAACATGAAACATGATTTTACTTATAAACTTTAATGGTTGATGATACAAATTTGAGGAAGGTTTATATAATAAAATAAAAATTATAACATTATTATAATAATTTATTAAAGCTTTTAAATTAATGCTTAATCACTTTGGTTATTTCAATAAATATATGACACAACGTTTAAAATATCCTTTAGGTCATTAAGCATTAAGCGGAAGCAAATCTGTTCGTCTAACCAAATTGCCACGATTCCGGTCGACCATTTCCTTTACGTTGTTGTACCATACACCTAGCGATAAAATCGAATTTTAAGTCTTTATATAAATAAGTCTGTGTCTGTTTTCCTTACCAATGTTAGTATTTTTCAAGCAATCTCCAAAAGTTTCACAACCTTCCATGCTATTAAGTACACCAAAAACTGATAGATCAGCTAAATTTGGACGGTCACCTCCCATAAATTTCTTTTTCTGTTTTTCAAGTTCTCCGGTCCACTTATCAAGGGCATCATATATATGCGAGCGTACATCATCTGACAACCCATGTCGTCGTTTTATTATTTTACTTATACCCCACATAGCAAATGCACCCACATTCACCATTAGATCACGTTCCCATTTGGGGAAGTAAATATCCCATTCGCCTGCCTTCGAAAACCACTCAAATGTTTCACGTGCTTCACTCAAAGTGCGGTAGCAGTTGGGTGAGATAAGATGCACAAGATGTGAATCCGCCCACGTACGCCATTTCCGTTCGTTCCTGAAGCGTTGACAAATAAAAAAAAAAATTTATTATTTTGAATGGAATGGCATACTCACTCCTGAATTTCTCGAGTTGCATGTTTAGGTGTTTTATCTTGATACATAAGGAAATATTTGTTCATTATATCTAAGCGTTTCTTATCGTCGTCATCGAAATATGATATCATGGGATAAAACTTGGCTAACTCGCCTATATCAGTTTCCTTGTCATTTAAGTATGATGCCAAGAGAGAGATAATTGCACTTGAGTCCGACATCTGTATGTAACGTCCATCGCCTTGCTCAACCAAAATCATAGGCACTTTCTTTTGTTCGGACCATTTTATGTCTTGTCGCAGTACTGCATCAACCTCGACCACAGAGTACGATATACCCATGAAATCAAGAAAAGCTCGCACTTTGCAACAGAAGGGACACGTTTGATATTGAAAAAGTATTATGTTTAAATTTGATTTATCATTGGGATTAATGAATCGCTTAGTTATTTTAACATCTGGTAGTTCTTTTAGAATTTTGGGTGGAATACGTTGATGCTCCATGTGAGAACTTTTATCTTTCCAATTTCCATATACAGAATATGCTGTACCTGAAGCGGCTCCAATGCCCGCTCCAATAAGTGCTAATTTAAAAGTGCTTGTACCATTTCTTTTTGGAGTAACCTGTGATGCATAACGTCTGCACTGTGCACCAATCGATCTGTAAGCGGGCGACACATTGCACTCAATAGACCGGCCTACAATGCTTGCTGCAATTCGTCGATTTATTCCCATTCGCAAAGTTGACATTACTGCTTTTCTGTTAAACACTATTATTTCAAATTAATTAAAATTTAATATGTTACTTAATACCGGTTGAAAATCTTTTAAGTGGAATACTTTTCTTTTGATAAGCGCCAATCTAGAAATAACCTTCCTGATTGTCAGCTGATATGGGCAATGGGAGATGTCACTTCAACTTGTCATTTAAAGCGTTTTATTCACCATTACGGGAAATTTCTTCTTTCATATCGCTAATTTTTTGTTCTGTTTTGTACCAAAACTGTGAATTTATTGTGAAAATTAAATAAAATTTCCTCAAAATGTATTTCTATTCTTATTCGTTCATTCCAATAAACTGTATAATATTCCAGTTTCAGTAAAAAGTTTTTTGTGAAGAAAGTTCTGAAGCAATTGCATATAAATTTTTCATTCAAATTTTTGGCATTTTTATTTAATTTCAGCGTGAAAATATAGCAGGATAATTTGAGTAAAAATCCGACGGACGATTTCTCACTCCAATATACTAAGGACACGATAAAATAATGCACATAACAGGAAAGGAATGTCGCAATTATTTATTACAAAGGAAAAATTTGGTACGAATAAGTATTTATAAGGCATATTCAGAAAAGAGCAGGCTTTTCGTATACAACGTACAGTTATATTTAAAAAAAAAATCATTTAACAGCCTATTCGTACTGTTCCGGCCTTTACTTATCAAGCACTCCAGAAGAACACAATGGTTGAACCACCACCAAAGTGAGTTTCTATTGATTGAAATTTTTAAGACTTTTGCTTAAGTTTAATCCGAATCTTCGTAGAATCTATATATACAAGAAGCGGCCTGTTAAGGAAACACTCTTTAAAATGTATTTTCGGCGTGGTGACATCCCGGTAGCTAAAAGAATTAAAGGAAGTGGAAAGGGTATTTCAGGAACAGTGAAATGGTTTTGTGAACCAAAGGAACTTGACTATTGCTACTATTTGCCAATATTTGTGGATGGGTACGTCGAAATATTTCATCAAGGTGATATCCTCAATGTTTTATTTTTCCCTAATTCCAGTCTAGCGGATACTGACATAGACATACGTTCACTTGCTCAAGAAGCTGCGATGGATTTAATCCTCAAAGCGCCGCATAAAATTTTACCAGTTCTGCCCAAACTGATACTTCCGTTCAAAAGAGCATTCAACACTCGTGATAAACGAATAATAATATCAGCGCTAAAAGTCTTGCAAACTATGGTTCTGGTTGGTAAGTTTTAAAACATGATTACATTGAAATTGAAAGAATTGCATCCAATGTATTTTACGTCAGGGCCTTGCGTTGGACAAGCTCTCGTTCCATACTACCGGCAGCTGTTGGCCGTATGTAATTTATATAAGAACATTAATGTCAACCTCGGTTCTGGTGTTGATCCTGATCGTAGTCGTCGCATCGGCGATGTTATCGAAGATACTCTCTCTTTGCTTGAAACATGTGGAGGGCCCAATGCATTTATCAACATAAAGTATATGATTCCAACTTATGAGAGTAGCACCCATCCCATATGTGAGCCGTCGGCAGAAAAACCTGGTGCTTAAAGCATAAAATATAATTAGAGATAGATTTTTATAGTACAATAATGTAGGTTACGAGAGAGCAAGAAGTTAAGCCATTTTTAAAATAATAATTTGTATTTTATATTTTATTAATGGCTTATATATTTGCTTACTCCTGAACAGTTAAAATATATATCTAGCGCGACATTATATTTTATATATAAACATTTAGAGCGGTTTTTGTCATGTATACCTTTGCTATATGAGAAAAAATAAATTCAAAATTTATAACCGTTAAAATATAATGTTGATAATTTCACAAATTTGATACACCACTACATACATCTTCATGTAGTTGCTGTCAATTTTACTTTGATAATTTGTTAGAGTTCATAAACGTTATTGTGACTGATTTGCAAGTGATTGGAAAAGAAGAAGCAGACGCATCCTAAAAAATAAACAAACTGATAATTTTGTGAACATTTCATCGATACAAAAAATTGCATTAATTATAACTAGAAATTATGGGGGCCCTTTTTGAAAATGGCTTAAGGTTGGACAGATATAACAGTGACGATCTCTTTAATGCGCTGCTACGTTATGGATTATTTGTAGGCGCAATATTTCAGCTCATCTGTATTGCGGCATCGATTTTGCTCCCTGCTGCTAGTGAAGGATCGAATGGCGAAGATGGAAGCGAGGTTTGTTGTATCATATTATAATGGCAACCTAAATCTGAAATACGATTTGTTTTAATGCCACTTAAAGGATTACAAGTTCAACAGCGAAATGGGAAATATGCGGCGATTGCACAAGTTACGCAAACAGGATAAAAAGAAGCGACGTTGATTCTATCATCGTGTACAAATATTTCTAACTCAGTATATGAGTTCACAATGTAATTAAGATAGTAAGATTTATTTGCTGATAGAGTGTCATGCAATATTTACGAGTTTCGTTTTATATTTTAAACAGCAAAGCAGTTAAAATCCCTATACCCATTATATGTATATAATTTGACACATGCACATATGTATTTGTATATTAACAATTATATTACAGTAGCGTGAAAATTACATTTTCATGAATGTTCAGATAAAAAATTTCAAATATATTATAAACATTCCCACCAACTGGTAAACATATTGTAACACTACACGAGATTCTACAGGTTCGTATTTGGTTAAACTTCTCAACGGCAGCTTGTCTAAAAAATCAATTGCGGCGACAGTGTTTTAGCAGCACTTGCGCCTACAAAACTACCAAATCTAACATGCGCTTAGCATTTTTATTAATATTATTACACGGTCAGACATTGAAATGTAAGTAAAATTACGCAGTATTTACATAAATAAATTCAATTCAAATGTTAATATTTAGTGGTTGTTGAATGCATTCCATCAACGGATTGTGGCGATGTGTCTGACTGTGTTCCGGAGAGTCAAAATGCTATATGTGCACTCGATCGGGAAATTGTGTGTTTTAAATATTTTTACTCCTTATGCCATCTGAAGTATGAAGAATGCCAAGATCAAAGAGGTTCACAACTCAATTGTAATTGTGTTATTTAAAATTTAAATTTTTTACTTTTATCAATAGAGTACGCGGTTTATTCACAAGCATACTGCGAAAATTCTGCCTTTATGTGTGGCACCTAGTCGAAATTGGGGCAAGCTAGTTTGAAGTTGACTTTTTAGTAATAGTTCATAAATGGAATGGAAAATTAATCCACAGAAAATATAAAATGATATTTGAATAACTAAGAATTGTTTTTAAAACATCACTTTTTACCTTTTAAGATATTAAACAATTTCAGCAGTAATATTAATTTGAAAGCGTAACGTTATGAAACTACGATCTATTTGTTGCTGTTCGTGACTGGAGTTCACATACACACGTGTATGCACACCTGTGTTTGTACGCGATACTCTGTGCAAACTCAGCGGTGAGCGGTTTTTGTGATAAAAATGCGGAAATAAATGAGTATATAAAAAAACATGCACAGCGAAAAATATGGTCTCTAATAAGTCAGTAAAAAAAAGTTTGAAAAAGTATCTACATGCATACAAAAAAGTGTTAAAATCAAGAAAAAACGTTAACTTCGACTGCTTTAAAGCTAAAATATGCTGCTTTTCTCATGGGGAATTTCTTCTAGCAACTATTTTTTCTTAAAGCTTAACTAAATCTGAAAATTTAATCGGCAAACCTTTTAATCGTTTTTATCCCAAAAAGTATTTCATACAAAGACTTGATTTTGAGCGGTCAGTTTGTATGACATCTATATAATCTAGTGGTGCGATCTGAACAATTTATTCGTAGAATTTGGTGTTATTTTGGGCAATAATTTATATGAAATTTGTGAAGATAAATAAAAAAGTTTTTCTACTTGACTTGATCGATCAGGATGTGTGACAACTATATATTATATATCCTATAATAGAGGTCCAATATCGGCGGCTCCGATAAAAAAATTTCTTGATGAGAAAAGGATGTGTGCAAAATTTCACATCGAAAGCCAGAAAATTGAAGGAATAGTCCATGTTTATTTATATATATATGTATATGTTGTTTCCTTCTGAGTTTTACTCTAATTTTTAAAGTATTCTAAATGAGCAAAAATGGTGTTTATAAACACAAAAGTCAGTAACAAAATATTTTTGCCAGTGTCTACTGATAATGCGAACAAAATATAGGCATGTATGTATTTTAATTGAATTAGCTTAAGAAGTTAGTTCCTCTTCAACCGTCCACAGAAATATACGTTATTTTTATTTAAAACATGCTAACCATAAAATTCGCGTTTTGTTTAATACTAATGTGTGAGTAAAATTGTTTACTATATCTCTTTACATACACATATCCATATGTACGCATTTAACACCCAAACAACTATTTTCAAAATTGAAAAGGCTGTTTTGCTGAGACGAAGCCGCAACCTGCTACAGTTAACGGTCCTCCAAGTGTGACAGGAAAATGTGATCTTGAGAGTAATTGTAAGATAAATGAAACTACTATACCGTTATGTCGTTATGATGACGGTGCTGGTTGCATACGGAAATATGCATCGAAATGCCATTTGGAGATAGCAGAGTGTATGGCTGGCACAAGTAAGTAACCCAAAAGTTGTGAATTAATGGTTTCTAATTATGTGCGTATGTTTGTGTATTTTATATCTAATCGTCAAAAAAACAATTGTAGAATACACAGATTACAGCAACGATTATTGCTCAATGGACACTTACCTATGTGAGGAGGGCTATGAACGTTGGACGATATTCTTTGGATATGAAAAAGCTTAATTTGGAAATTGTCAAACCAGTGATAAGAGAAAAACACCCATTAATTATGTTGACTGGCATATGTACGCATAAAATATACAAAAGTATGTACATAATTATGTACATATGAATTAATAAACGGGCGTTCTTGACATATTTATCTTGAACGTCGATGAAAGTTGCTTCTAGATTATCTTAAATTGATATTTGCACTGATGTAGTTGTGTTTCACCAAGAAAAACCTGGAATGTTGACGTATTCCAAAAATATACGTTAACTAGAACCCGTTATATTTTAAATTTCTCTCTTCACTCCACTTTTTCAATAATTATTACTTTTAATTGATTTATTTTTAGTTATAATAATCACTCGAATTTAAGGTGTAGACGTATACTAACGGTAAGGGTATTTTATTGTTATCGAATAACTTTATCCCAACTTACTTTTTAGTAAATTTTCACCATATGTTTTTGTTGCAGTATTATAGAACAGTTCCCAATGGATTTTAACGGTGATTTACGATCTGATAAAAATTGCCAAAATTGGTCAATTTAAACTGGAGAGAGGCAGTGTGTTTTTTACGGACGAATCAAAACTTGGGGGAAGGCTGTTTTAAGATCTTTTAGGCTCAATATTGATTGTAAGAGATCCCGTGAGCTCTTTTTTGTCAGAAAGACTAACCTTACCCTAATTGTGAGGCTTCCAACAAGCCTCCTGGCCTCCAACTTGTGCATGCTCTAAAGTTGAGAACTGACCGAATGCCAGCTGCAGAAGCTGTATGGAAGAAGTTGAGGTGGAAACATCTCAGCACTTCCTTGTTTGTCAGCGTTGGCAAGATTTGGGTTTAAACACTTGGGAGCTCACACTTTTAGATAACTCACCGAACTGGGCGGTAATATAAATTAAACGATTGAGAAAATTTTTTACATAAGCTGCTTTGCTGACTTATAAGGTCAAATTAAAGGAGTTATATTTTCACGGCTTCACAAAATACTGCATATATTGGTCCAAGGGGGATGTCTGGATCAGCCATCAAACCTATCAATGTATAATGTAATTTGCAACGGTCTGACTATAATGAAAATGCTCAATTAATGAAAAAAAATGAAAATTTTCTAAACACCCTGTATTCAAAGAAGTTCATGCGCTTTTTTTTAATGAAAATAATTTTGTTGATACAAGTGTAAATTTATTCTGAAATTTACAGTCCTAAAACACATAGATCTATCCAATGCTGCTCGCATTATTATATCGTACATATGTATGTTTGTATGTATAGAATGAAGGCATAATCCAAGCGTGATGTATATATAGTAGAGTTTTCAATTTGCCTTGTCGTAATTCTCTAACCTTAGTCTGGGAAACAACTACTTCTCATTGCTTTCAGATTTGAATTTGTTTGTGTGCAGCCAACACTCTGATTAAAAACACCTATCGTCTGCTACTGACCCCAAAAATATATGGTATTGAGTTTAGTGTTGCCGACCTTGTGAAATTAGTTCAGGTGGGATCAGGTAAGATTAAGTTTAGGCTAAGTTGATCGCTTCCATTATAGTAAGTGCCCGATCTATTGGGGGATCTCTATGAACATCACCCAATCGGCTTAATACAGCATTATTTGAAGGAGTTTTCTAACTAGGTATTGGCATAAGCTCATGATTCAATTAAACAGTGTTTGGCGCCTTCTTTTGGGAAACTGGTGTTTAAGAAGACTATAAAGTTACTGTAAGGCTTAGAGCGGACTCCACTCTCCAAGCTCAAAATCAGCCTTTAAAGGTGAATATCTCTTGGATTAATTAAGAGGTGGACAACTGGATGTACATAATTATTTATAATGACCTGAATATTTAGGCATTTATAGTAGTTTTGGAACGTGAGGAACCGATAGTTATTGAAGCGGAAACATTTTTGCGCCAATAATTATTTACAAACACATACATAATGTGTATATGTGCGTAACACAGCTATTTTAGTGAAATCAAAATTTGTCACGTAGCAGTTTTTAATAAATTTTGTCAGCAAGCAAAAATGACTGCCAGTCGATTCGTTAAGCCAGTGAGTGTTTAAACCAGTAAAAAACGGTATATAGTTTTGGAAGATGTCTAGTCGTAAAATTTCGCTTCTTTTGTTGGTGGCATGTAAGCTGGTAAATCGCCTGCAGTGTTTATTTTGGTTACATGCGTGAAGATTATTTCAGATTCCATAGCATTAATACACGCACGGCCTAATGAAAAGCTTGCTGCGCGGCTTTCACGTCTCTACTTGGATCCAGCGAATGACGAACGCTTCAATGATATCGAACGGTTCAACGGCGACGAAGTGCAGTATTCCGCCAGAAAGGATATGGTGGATGAAGAAGTAGTCTTACAGATTATGGATGTGTCCACCAAAAAAAATGATGAAATTGAGGCTCTCAACCAAAGTGCCGAAATAGAGGAGGGACTAACGCGTTCGATGGTTTCTTCGATATTCAGATTTATGGCCAATGTGATGGGACCCTTTATACATAGATTGTAATAATTAAATACACAAGTGTATATGTATATGTATGCAATATTTTTTTAACAAACTTCGGGGCAAAATGTCTTTGGCCTTCGTTTTTTGAATTTTTTACATTAATAAACATCGAAATTTGTAACGATGAACGAAAGCAGTTTATACGTCAACGGACTTTTTTATATCAATAGCAAGTTTAAATTACAATTTTTTTGAAAAAAGTTTTTCTTGAACTGGTTGGAGGTTACACCGATTTACACCGATGAAAGTTTTAGACTGATCCAATATTAAGATAAGTCACATATTGGCAGGTATATGTGGTATAAAGTCACTCGGAAGTTCGAAAATCTTTGTATTATGCATATGGGAGCTAACCGATTCAACCCACTTTGGCACACAGACATACATCATCAGGATTCTCTCTGAATTTCATTATATATCTTACACACTGACCGATATTTTCGGTCCGATTTGGATAATTTCTGGAAATAGGGTTAGTTTCATCTCGTTTTATTAAGTGCGTCTTGATTTACATATATACTAAAAAGTAAGGGAATCAAATCGAATTTAAAACTATGGTATATGAGAAGGAGGCGTGAGTTTAGACCGATTTCTTTCGCTTTCGCATACCAAATTTGGTTCAAATCGGTCGGGTGTGTCTTTAAATATGTGATAACACCTCAAAGTGTGCGGATCGCGCATACGAAGTTTCATCAAGAAATTTTAATTTTTACTCAAGTTATAGCTTAGACGGACGAACGGGCAGAAAGTCAGTCAGCCGAATTTAAAGCAGTCATCATGATCCTTTATATATGTATATGAAATCGTTTACCTATCTCACTTAGTTTTAGGTTTTATGTACAACCGGTAGGTGAAACAACTTTACACTCTGTAGCAACATGTTGCAAGAGTATAAAAAAAACGACCTGCTCTAATGTATATTATATGATATATATTCAAAATATACAATTGAATACCAATTATCATATTATAAGTTTACAAATATAGTGTACGAGTATGGTCTTTTGAACTTAGACGCGGCGAAATCGAAAATTGTAGAATAATTTGTTCGAACTTCATGGAAGTCATGGAATTTCTGGCATGAGTTGTTTTTTTTTTATTAAAATTAAGTCAGTTCAAGTGGATTAAAAAATTGTATGGTCTCTACTGACCGCATATGTGAATATTGTACATTTGCATACAATATTAGCATGTACTAAGCCTACGGAATACCGGGTTGTATTTCGTCAAACCTTCGTGCGTACTTAAACCATGAAAGAACATTGTTAGTTTGCTTTAACGTGTATTGCAATTTCTATAATAATTTTGGTGAAGTAGTATATACTCTTCCCTTTTCCCTATTTCCCTCTTCTTTCTTTTCTCAGAAATTTAGCTATTATTTGTTGAAAACTTATAAGCCGACAAATAATATAATACCACCTCTAGGGAATGGCAAAGATATGATGAAGCTTTACATTTTTTTATGTTGCCAACAACACCTTCCGTTTAAGGGGATCTGTACCTACGACAACTTTTGAGAACGAGTTCCGTACCTTTTTCCATGTATAAACTACAAACTGCCAATTAGCTGCCATTTCGATTTGGGTGGATAGATAAGTATACTGGCATGCATATTCACAGTTTCTATTTCGAAGCTGCGTTACTATACGTAGTAACAAAATGTATATTCGAAAGCGCTGTTTAATTGGCAACAATGCAGAAAGATCTTTACTTCGTTATTTACATACAAACATGAAATATGGAAAGAAACAGAAGTTGGATCACAACTGGTTTTAGGGAAGCTTTTTCTGTCTGTATGGGTGGGTTCCTTTATAAAATAACTTTGTTTCATATCGAGCATCGCATTTTACTTTGTTCTCACTAACATCAAAAACATTGCAACAGCACACGCTCATCGACAGGCTCTGTGCTCGTAAATATCATGAAATAGGGTGTCAAAACAGTGGCTTAAGGCTTAAGTACATACATAACTTTAAAACTTTTCTATTATACAAAATAATAAAAAAAAAAAAAAAAAAATAAAATAAAACATCGGCTTTTGCCTGTAGGATACTCGTAATAAAAACTTTGGTGTTTCTTTATTCTATTTTAAATATGAGAACATTGTTTAGAGTCAAGTTTGATAAGTTATTTGTTATTTTGTTTATAATTATTGTCTACAAGAAATCCGCTTAAGTCTATGTGTAGTGATCATTTGAGTACAATTCTTTAACATTTAGATTGTGATGACATTGCAAATAATTTATTAAAATACATATGGAGTAAGCGAGTCCTTAGCAAAGCCTATAAGCTGGATGGGTTTTCCGTTCAGCTAAATCACACAAAGACATATCTACCGTTTCGAGATCTGAAATGTAAATAATTAAATTAATATTTTTATAATAAAGCTGAGAAAAAATTCTCCATAATATTATATTGAAGAATATGAACCTATGACTAAGTACATTGTAATATTGAACTGGCGAATTTATGGATATATTTTTGCGTTCTATATACATAGTTCTTGGGTTCGACATTTGTTTCCAAACAATATCATTCATTTTTTTCGAAAAGTTACCTTTAGTGATGACGGTGAAAGGTGACATGTAAAAGTTTCGTCAGTTTCGAAGTAATGTCGAGAATATATGGTATGTAGAAGCCAAAAGAGGGGTAATAAATATTATATATACATGGTAGTTTGAGATTTGCCATTTGGCTGGAGATGTACTTGTAGTTAAAAGAAGGATGCGAGGAACCTAGTAAGCTGCTGAGGTTGGAGTGCAAATTAAATTATTGGGAACCCATTAACTTGAGAGTGGTTATTATGAATTCTTGAACTGATAATTATACTATATTAAAGAAAACTATCATATCAAGTAAGTAATTTGAAATAATTTGTAGTTTATTAGAGTGATTTGTAGAATTGAGAGCAGAAAAGTCCTAGGTGACTTGAGAATTCGTAAATGTAGTAGTTCGGTGAGGAATTAACTTCGGCCACAACTTCAGCTCACGCTTTTTCTGTTGTGGTCAATGAACTGGTGCTTCCCAATAATAAATATTGCGTAGTCGAAAGAGTATTTTCCTGTTTGTGATTATTATTTCACATTATGTTACACTACACAGTGTTGAAAAGGTGAGATTTTAAGCTTCACTAAACCAAAAAAAATTAAATTCGGGGGAGCTGGGAAAAATTACAGCTGTTCAAAAATGAGTGAAAAATAATGAATTTTTTCTATAAAAAAGAAGAGATCGCCACGCAAGCCACCAATGAAATTTGGGAAGTTGACGGAGACGATATCAATTCATGTAGCATAACAATGGTTCGCTCGTTTCTGTTCCGTTATTGGAAAATATAGATATTAAGCCGGCTATTTCTGAATTTTTATCAAATTGCGATTAAATCGTAAAATATTTGCTGCTATATAAATATATATGTGGAAGCAATCACTATACTCACTGAAAGTGTATCAATAAATAAAATTTCTATATTTTGTGTGAACTCGATTCGACGCTTTAGAGGTTAGGAGTGTATTTTGATTAATTCGGTTTGTCTTGAAAATAAGTATGTATTATAGTGGGCAAAGACAGTTCGCCAAAGCCTTCTTTCTTTTTATAAAAATAATAATTCGTTCGAACTGTTTTAAAAGTATACTCAAGGTCTTCAAGAATACCTTCAGATTTTAACAGCAGCAGTGAAATTTTAACCGAAGAGGCCGTTCTCAGATTCTCTTGCACTCGCAATTATTATAAGTAATTAATATTATTCACGAAAAAACAAGAACAAAAAATTCATTAAGTTCCGTTGCTTTCGGAGCTACTTACTGTGCTTCGTGGTACATTTTAATCGATCGTACAGACATTTGTTGTCAAATCTAGCATAACAATTACTGTCATAACCGCAAACAAGATCGCGTGTCGTGGGACATTCTTCGTTGCATTGTTTCGGCTTCGACTGTGACTCTGAATCTGCACTGGCCAATGCGACAAGCACGAGCACTAAAATTAGAAAAAGTATTTAGTACTCGTTTAATAATTAATAGAATATATGTATATAATTTCATTGGACATTTACCTATTAGCACATAGATAAAAGACGCTTTTGTTGTTGTATTCGCCATTTTAATTTCAAAATAGAAATCACTGTTATTGTTTTTAAAAGAATTTTTAATTATGTGTAACAATTATGTAAATTACGCTGGCGCTGCAATCTGTCTGTCACGGAATCTCTTATTCGACTGTTTTTGCTGCGTCGGCTTAAATGTGCTCGCTGGCGATGCGAATTTCTATCCCAGTTTCCGTTATAAAGTTGGATTTTGCATAAATAAATATACACACAAATTCGTATATATTTAAGTAACTAACAGTATAGGCTGCGCTTCACAGTAGGCGCTCAATAAAGTGAACTATTTTTTCACTTTCAAGTCCAGGTTATAGACTTGATTTGTGTATGTAGTTGTACATAGTTGTATTAATATGTACATATATACAATATTTTTATACTCTCGCAACAAAGTTGCTAAAGAGAGTATTATAGTTTTGTTCACATAACGGTTGTTTGTAAGTCCTAAAACT